GTAATAAATATGTAAATAAACCAAATTACATTCAATAATTGAAATAAATATTGTGAAGAGTCAGTACTTTGCCATATGAATGAATGGTGGATCACATCTAGATTAAATAGATTAAGTAACTATGCATGTGTATTTCCCTGCATGTTTTTGAAATGACAGGGAATGTATTTAAAAATGAAAGATACAGCCCCTATATTCTTCAAAATATTTATGTTATCTGTAGGGATTCCTTCACATGAAAGTACTATATTTCAATTTTATTTTTACCATAGTTGTATTTGGCAAGTATCATGTAACATTGTCACAAATCAAATTGGAGTCAAAGTACCGGCAGAGGGCAATAGTGTTGCATACAAGTGGTGAACAGGCCTCTAGTAAAATCACCTTCTTTGATGCAGAAACATACAAGCCTATTATGTACTACATGAATATTAAAGAAGGAAAAAGACTTCTGTATAGACTATAATTTGCTCCTATTGAATCACATTCCTCCTAAATTTAAAGCATATTTACATGCTGACCCAAATCCAGCAACCCTTATTCTAGTTCGTATTTAGTTAAAGTAGATCACAAACTTAGTTTATTAGCTGCAGTTTAACACTTATTATTTTCTAAATTAGAACTAATTACATTCCCTAAAGTAGAAAATGAGATCAACAAGCCATTTCACTCCGTGCAAGCAAAATGTCAATAGGATAATATTAAGTACATGCATTTTTATTCAAATGTAAATTGACAGCACTTTTTTTTAAATCTTTGAATATTTACAGAAAAGACCATGTGGCTGTTTAACATGCCTCTGCAGACTAAATTAAATTCAACAGTAATATGAATATAAATCAACTTTGAAGAGCGTAAGTTAATTGACAAGGAATGTTTTTCCTTTCTAAAACTCTCCAAGCAAAGAAGCTTCAGGGGTTTGACTTGGACTAGTGCTAAACTTGGTTCCAAGGACTACATGCTTATTAGTCACCCAAGCACTCCCAGTGTGGTCTTGGATCATATTTTCTGGCTTAGTTTCACTTGAAGATAATACAGATTGTATGGCCAGACTGTTCCATAGTGTAACATCATTAAAGTGCAGTTAGTGGGAGAACGGGGAGACAGACTTCGGAAGTGCCATTCATGACTGGAACTGCAGTGCCAGGGCAAGAGTACCGAGAAGGTCAAAAAAACCCACTAACAGACACTGGGATTGATAATGTGTGAGTGTTTGAGAGTTTTAATTTGCTTTCTGATCTAAGATGGGCAGAGAGGGATACTAAGAATCTTGCCAGTTTGAGCAACTGTAATGAGACATTTTACCCATTGTCATAGAAACATAGAAAGGCTTGGGCTGGAACGGACCTTAAAGATCATCTAGTTCCAACCCTCCTGCCATGAGTAGGGACACCTTCCACTAGACCAGGTTGCTCAGAGCACCATTCAACCTGGTCTTGAACACTTCCAGTTATGGGGCATTTGCAACTTCTCTGGGTAAACTCTCCCAGTGCCTACCACCCTCACAGTAAAAAATTTCTTTCTAATATCTACTCTAAACCTTCTCTCTTTCAGTTTGAAGCCATTACACCTTGTCCTGTCACTACTCGCTCTTTTAAATGTTTCTCTCCATCTTTCTTGGAGGCTCCCTTCAGGTAAGAGGTCTTCACAATCTGAACGTAAGAACATTTTATTGTCTTCAATCTGCTATTCAGATAATGTGCTAAATTCTTGCAGATGAGGAAGTAATGAAGGCAGATCCTTTGCTGACTGAGGAATTCTAAGACAACACACTCTCCTCCTTCTACCTCCATCTGCCTCTTATGTTGAATTGTTTTTCTACATCAACAAACAACACAGATAAAACAGTTATCTGAGGTATGGAAAAAGCTATGTCAATAATGTAAATATAAATCAAATTACCTGATTGACATGATCTAGCTTTGGACAGGGTCTTCCACCATTGTACGGTTTTTCACGGAGCCATTTAGACCGAACCTTTACCCCGCTCCCACAGGATTTACTACAGCGAGACCAGTTGGACCACTCACTGAGCTTGCAGTCTGAGGGACATGGAATAATACAGGCTTCCTCAATGTACCCTGCATGAATGGAAAAGAAAGTGAAATCTCTTCAGCATGTCACTTTGCCACTTCTCCCTGAAGCCCTCGTCTACTTCATTTATATTGTCCAAACTTTGACTTGACAGGACTGTGTGAATAGAGAGATTTCTTCATCGTTAAGGCTAAATTAAATTCTGAAGAAAATTGACACATATAGCTGGAGACTGTGTTAGAGTAGCAGCTGATCATCCTCACCGCTATGTGATTAGGATTCACACTCACCAGATTTCAGCATTCAAACTTTCTGACAGCTACAGCGTAATTGACACTAACCAGTTCTTGGCTGCATCATTCTTAATTTGTATAAACAATATGTATTTTTTTTAAGGAAGAAAGGTTCAATTAAAGGCTACTCCACAACTGTATCAAGTAATTCGATTGCAGTTTTACATCAAAAATCCAACTGAGAAGATATGCATCTCGCCAGCCTGGAGCAAGAGAACTTAACTCCTTGTGACCTTTGTAAGGCTAGAAAGAAAGAGTAGCCTGCCACATTAATGATCTGCCAATTAACAATCATCTGCCCCTAGTAGCACACTGAATAATTGCACTGAATGGAAAAGCAGACGTTTGGTTTGGATAAGTCATCGGTCTTGAGAGGTTGGAAGTGGGTATGACATGATCTGTGGGGAATAACATGAGGCCTCAATTCACTGAATAAGTGAAAATGTCTTTCTTTCAAAAGCAACATATGGCATAGCTCTAAAATATGTGTAATTTATTCCAATATTTAAGGGAGAAGTTATAAAACCTCAAATAAAAAGCTGACCTTTACTGTCTTTTTACAACAATATCCTGAACATATATGAACTCTCATCTCCCCTTTCCTGTGTCAGATCTACAAGGTATTTACTATTGCCAAATGTTCACTTTAAAGACTAAAAAAACTTCAGTGCATTTAAAAGTGTGTTAAAATGTTTGATGAAAACAGTTGCAAAATTAACTCTTGGGTAAGATCATTCTCAAAAGACTGGTAAAGTTTGCTAGGCATGGTTTTGCATGTTTCTGAGAAATATTTAATTTTTTTAGTTTGAAAGCGATCACTATCTTTTCATCAGAGTTGATGTTAGCAGCTTTGTGTTTTAACATATACTTGTAAGTAAAGCTATTCTGTCTCTTTAAAAGTAACCAGCAGTAACAAATCACAAGGTGTGTAAAGAATCAAAACACTTAAAATATATACTTATGTCTAGTTGTTTCCATTGATTTGTTTTAGATATAGAGAAGAGAACTTTTTTTAAAAAAAATATATGGCAGCATTCAGAGTATTTTATGGTCAAATTCAGGTGATGATTTTATCATGTATGGCCTTCCTCTGTTTGGAAGTGTTAAATAGTTAAATAAATATACAGAGCACATTCTGGATTTGAGCACTACAAAACTACTGCCCACCATCTCCACATATCTCCTTAAAATGCCTAGAATGTTATGAGCTTGATTGCAAGCATATTTATTAAATATATCTTGCCATTTGATTGATCAGCTCAGTGATGATATATAAAAGGGACACTGTGTTAAAATACATTTTTGAAGATCATATCACTGAATATCGGAGGTGGTGATATAGATTGCCCTGCAGTAGTAAAGCCAAAATTGATTACATTTCACCTTACCTGACATCTCTGAGTCTTAGAAATCCAATGCACCCTATGTCACAGCTCCATCCTACACTGAACCTTGACTGAATAAATATCAGACTCTGTATCTTCACCAGAAATGAGCTTTCAACAAGCTCTCTTAGGTGCTATACAAAAACATGCACTCATACATACTGAATGAAAATGGACAAAACCAAAGTTAAGAGAAACAACTACGTCAAGCAGTAAGTGCTAAGTGATATTTATTGTCTCATAGAACTAAGCAAAGATTTTACTGCTCTATGAATTGTCTTGAGATTCTGAAATGCTGCCTTGACTTTCAACATGACTTCTAAATACTTTTTTTGTCTGGAGAAACCTTTCTACTATAACACAATTATGCCATTTACCACCCATTAAATTTCTATATCTGGTAATTAAGGTCTGAAAGGACCAAATTCAAGTTGTTTTAAATATATTGTACATCCTTAAGTAGGTGACTTGAACTGGTACAGGCTGCTTCAGAAAGACTTTATTTTAAGGACTTCCATAAACCTCTGAGTTTATCTTAATAACTCAAAGGCATCTTCCCAATCTTTGCCAAGATATTCTCCAGTATACCATGATATTTTGGGAATTTGATAACACTTCATAGCCCACCAAAAGAAGCCTATGTGGAACATACTAAACTAAAATGATTGACAAATTAGAAACTATTTTGCCTTATTTCCCTTCAGTTCATCCAAACAAGGACAATAAAGTTTTGGGGTTTTCTTTTTTTTAGATAATGAGAATGTTAATTGTTAATGTTAATAAAAAAGTTTAACATTAGAACCTTGCAGATACAAATTGTATCAAATAAAATATATTATATGCAAGTTCCAGGTAACATTTAATTACACTGAGCTATATTTCCAGTAGTTCCATAAAATATCAAATGAAACCATATCACTACAGCAACCTTTGTTCACACTATCTATGAAATATCTACATTTAAGTCAGACACTAAAACTGCCTTACTATAGAAGGCAAAAAAGCCAGAAAAGTATCATATTACAGGTACAGAGTCTTAGTAAGAGTTATAACATGGAAAACCACGATCTTGTTTACATGTTAATGCGTTTTGTAGAGAATGCAGTGGTTCAGTTGACAATTCACACACACTTTATCATGAAAAAATACTGAACTGCAGTCTTATACTGGTTCCTTAATCTTACAAGCTTCATGGAATAGCTACTGCTCACTGTACAGCTCTTTCCTATACCATCTCTAGTATATCCGGCCTATGATGCTCTCCTCTCTCTCTTTCCTATTTCCTCAGAAAGACATCAAGACCCAAAGTCCATTTATAAAACAGTTGAAAAAGAAGAATGGAAAAGAAGAGAATAAGAATGGAGTCGATAATTGAAAGCATAAAAAGAAGCTCTAACGAGGTAGAAAGCTCCTGAAAATGTGAAATCACCTATAATTGTGTAAGATAAAAGACAAGCATAAAAAAAACCTCCTAACCACTGATATACTAAGAACACTGCATGCAAAAAAAGGTCAAAGAGGTGAACAGAGTAAAGGTAACCAGGAAAAAGTTTCACAGCTTCTTCAGAAAGAAGGAAATAAAATAAATAAACAAAGGACCCAATGTTTAGGTTGGTTCTTCACTCAGAGGGTGGCTGGGCACTGGAACAGGGAAGTGATTGCAGCACCAAGTCTGCTGGAGTTCAAAAAGCATTTGGACAATGCTCTCAATCATATGGTGTGATTCTTAGGTCAGGGTTTGGACTTTGATAATCCTTGTGGGTCCCTTCTAACTCAGGATGTTCTATGATTCTATGAAGTTACTTTTCATGTCAAAGAGACAGAAGTCAAAACAACAGAGGAAATGTAAAACAAAATAGAGACTGAGGGGGAATAGAGGAAAGGGTAAGAAAAGACAGGGAGAAGGAAGAGGAAATAAATGGCTCAAATAAATAAATTCAAGAGTATTATAAAGACACACTGCATAGGGATAGAAGAGAAAAGAAAAAAACACCGTGCCATAAGCAATATCTTGGTGAAGCACAAGCGGAACGAAACGCTCTTGACAGCTTACTCTGATATCCCCTGACCAGACAGTGAAATATAATGAAGAACATTCTCAAAAATCAAAATAGAGGACAATGGGAAGAAATAAAAACAGTGACCTCTGATTTGCATTCTGTGTGTAATTAGTATGCAGAATGAAAATGACCCTGTTCTATCTGACATCAAAAAGTTTTTGGCATATTCATCCCTTGGCATCTTTTCCTCTCAGGGGCCTCACTATTTTGATCAACAGACTATTTAGCATTTAGCTGTGCCACTGGACTCCTTTAGAACTAAGCAGAAGCAGACTTCAAACTGCTTACAGATACTACTTTAGTCAAGAAAGAAGAGTGAAACAAAAAAATAAATTACTTGTTGCAAATGACTTGTTCCACTCCATTTATTACCTATTGAATGATATGTTTCAGAAAAAGCTTCTCTGGAGCTTGTCATCACCTCAGACTTCTTTCTGTGTCTATGATGTCTGCATATCTTTTAGAGTGATCAAGGATGATAAGCTCCGTAAGTTCATAGCAACCCTACCTCATATCCAAGAAAGCAGATGTTTAGGAATTTTTAAAAGTTAATTTTTTTTAGTTGTTTTTTGTTAAATTTCAGGCGTTTGTATTTGTAAACTTTGTTCACAGTGTAAAAATTTCAGCAAAAGAGAGGATAGAATGTTGTTATATAGAAAAAATATGTTAAAAAAATATAAAAGCAGAAACCAGATATATTACATGCAAATGGGACTGATGATGTAGACACATTGTTTCTGACATGAAAAGGACATGAACAAGCCATTTTTTAATTTTCAGTATTGTTTTCAGTCTGATCAAATCATCCTTCAAAGGGTGACACTTGTGTTAGAGTGCAAAACCTTATTAATGAAACAGGCCTCTAATGTGTGGGTGAGTGTCTGTATGGTGAAATATCACTCAGTTATATCACATAGACAGGTTGGTTAATATTATTGCACCAAAAGTCACACCAGAGCTTTGAGGTTTAAAGAACAAATAAGAAATTACCAAGGTAGAAATACAATAGATGCAGAGAGAAGGAAAGAATGAGAGCAGTGAAATGGCTATGAAGAAGAGCTGAGGAAAAAAGTTAATAGAGGAGGGAGGGATAATGAAATAGAAGACCAACACTGTAAAGGCTGAAGATATGTTCTCTGAACATCAGCAGTTCATTTTTTGCCTTCATGCTTCCTAAATCACTTCCTTCGCCATAGAACATCTGAGGGATGTCGGAGAGATGAGACCTTGGTGCACTGTGGTACAGAGTACAGGCCCTGCATGGTCCAGAGAGGTACTGGAAAGAGATGCCTATCTCTAAGGGCCTATGCCTTTTCCCAGGGCAGTAGTTTCTTGATTATTTCAGCTCCTATCAGTTGAATTTCACGAGGCTGTGAAATGGGCAGTTGTCTATTATGAGCAGGAACATGGCTATTCTGTCATTAAAGATTACTGAACCACAATTTAAAAAATGGCTTTGAACCACTAGGATTATGAACAGAACTCATTAGCAAAAGGGAAAAGACTGTCCCCTTGCTAATTGGCTATAAAATCTGGACTCCTAGAACAAAGTCATTAACAGATGTGATGGATAATTTATAAGGGAGGACTTTAATGGACTTCACACTTTTTCTAATGACAAAGCAGGTTAAGCAGGTGGATACAGGATTTTTCCCCACAAATTGCACTTGTAGTGTGTAACAACAGACTGACTACTTGAGTTGAAGGGTGAAAATGTGCAAATATAAACATCTTACGAAGTGTTAACATGAACTCTTTTGTTCGTAGGACTGACAGTTCTGCTCCTGCTTTCATGACCAAATGTCAAACTATGTTTCCAAAAACAATCCACCTGCAATGTCAGAATGGTTTATGTTCTTATCATAGATTTTTTTTGATAAAATATCAGAAATAGGAAATATATATACCTTCCAGGACCTAGAAATATACAAGTATTTGCATTTCATTTGTAACAGAAGATATGTATTTTTGGAGACTATTCATATTTCTGTTGAGCCATGGAAAGACAGATTGAAGACCATAAGACTTTTTTTTTTTTCTTCTGGATTACCCTTCAAACTCTCAAAACTTGAGAGCAATTGTTCATGCTTAACTATCTTCTGCATCAGTAGTTCTGTCTCTGGTGAACTAACTACACATCTTTGGGTTGATGGATGACTGCTTCAAGACTGATGACCTGTTGACAAGGCAGATGTGGTGGCACCACAATGCAGAGGCCTAAGGTAGGATTTGTGGTGCAAAACAAAAGGTAGCATATTCCTAGAGAACACACAACATAAATATGTATTTTAAAAGAAAATCTTAGAAAATATATAAGCTATGAAACATCAAAGTATTCTAATAACAATTTCAGAACATTAGCTTACTACCATACTAGATTAGAAGTCCCTACAGGAAACAAATTTGCTTTTGAATAAACATTCAACAGAAACCCTCAATTAAATTTTAACACTGATATTTTTTTCTGGATAAATTTGCATTGCTTCAAGTTAGAATATTGAAAGTCAAACCCCACAGATTTAAAAAATCCTAATAAAAGTGGATAAAGCAAGTTCTAACAGACATCCTGGACCCCATAGACTCCATTATATCGTACGAGATTTTACTAAGCAACTAAATACAAAATTCCTCGATTCACATTGATACTCCTAACAGCTGTTGTAAAAGTATTCACTGATACGCAGATATTCCTCTCTAATCCCCCACATAAGCCTTGTAGCCACAGAGGGCTTTGTAGAGTCAGCACAAATCAATGCATCTCATTTAATTAATGCTAAAGGGGCAAATAATCTCACACTAATAAGGCAGCAGACAAACTATCCTGACTGCTTGACTGTGCCTAAGGTCTTAACAGTAAACATGAATGGACATGAATTAAGAAGGGTAATACGACCTATATAAAAATTCTGCATCTGTCTGCCATGGAACTATGTTTGCCTTCACTAGGCACACAAACACAACCACTGCTCAGCTTTTGTAGGTCACGATTCTGAATTGATGTATGATGAGGAAAAACTAGATATTGAAGAGCAGATAGTGTAGTGCCACATGACAGTGGCTTGCTTTTGATTTTTTGTCACAAAAATTCAAAGTACAGTTTAAAGGGACAATGAAGAGAATCTCAATTTTTTTCATAAATACACTGAAACAGCTTGTTGGCAGACACATGTCACTATCCACAGAGCACTAGTATTCTAGTGATGACAGGGATAAAGCTATGAAAAACAACTGATGCTTTTCTAATGGAAAAAACCTCTCACACATGACTATTAAGTGAACTATACGTTTTTATATTTCTCCAGTAAAATTACCTATGTAGTATTGAAGAAAAGCAGGAACAAGAGAAAGGGCAATTTATGTATGTTCCATTAAGGAAAACGGGTAAACAACAGCTCAGTTACCACATCTGTTAGCAACTGGCAGCTGTTAGCTCCTCCCCACACTCTGAAGAACTGGAATGGCTGAAAAATACCAGTGGCAGAATATTTCAAATGGCTGCTGAATGGTGTAAACTCTTTCCCCAATAAATTTAGCTCAAATTTGTAAAAAAGTATTTTTAAATGAAAAATCAAAATATTGGGTATATATTACACTGGAACTCCCTCCAAGATAAAAAAGAAAATGAGGGAAAAAACCAAACTGCCTTGCCTCTTTGCAGCTAAAACTTAGGTCTGTTTTCAGCTCTTTGCTTGGGATTTCTTTTGAAGCACCTGTTAAGCTACAGAAAGCTAAGGACCTCCTTCAGAAGGACTCTGCCCTGTGCTCCCCAGTATTCTCACCCAGTAGTAACAACAGATTTATTTAACCCTATTTTGCCTTTCCTTTTGTCACTCCTGAAATTTTGAGAAACTTGTTTGTACGTGGGACCTTATAACTGCACCCAAAATTTCAAAAATTATCACCAGAATCTCCCAATGGGTCTGCTAATTTAGCACTGTCCTTGTGTCATACCTGTCCTTGAGCTCCTTGGTGTCCGTGAAACTGTTAGTGTGTTGCTAACTCTTCTCAAATCTTTTGAAAATGAGATGTTTCAAGCAGCAAAAAGAGTACTGAAGTATTTATTCTTCTGCTCCTGTTTACCTTTTCTTTTCTGAGTAAGTCAACTGAGTTGTGGTTATAAGCACACAACATTTTTCAAAACAGCTTACGAATTTTGTGGCACTGCAGAGCGGATCTGTCTTCTCATTCCTTCCACTTAAAACATCATGACTTGCAGCACTGACCTACTCATTGCCTCATAAATTTGCATGGCACTATTTATATAAAACTTTTGACAGTCTCTCAATTTGAGTTGCTTGTGGTATTTTAAGATATCATAGCATATCCCATGATATATTAATAACATCAGTGTGGGTGCAG